CCAGACAAACATTAAAGGCAGGCCAATCTTGGCCGTAAGGTACTTCAATTTTGAGGAGGCGTGCGGGCAATTTTGAAAGGCACGATGGCCATTGGCCGCGGTGCCGCGGCTTATGTCTAGCCCTGTTAGAGTATACAAATGGGGACAAAAAAGAGCAAGAGAGTAAGAAATATTGGTGCTGGTAACATTTTTGTTCGTGGCAAAATAACAATTCATTATCTAATCCATCGCCTTGGTGACTCGCATGGGAAGAGCCCGAATCTCCTCCCCCGTTCCCCCCCCTCCCCAACCCCACCCCGCAGACAGATCACAAAACTCAGTTGGTTAACAGTACTAATAAAGCTCTTATAAACCCCTACTAAAATTCCCTACAAAACACCACTAAAAAACAATTATAACTTTCATTGAAAAACAAATAGCCTTTATTAAATCATGTAATTAAGTTTGCCTCCACACAGCAAGCCATCACTTAACAGTAATGAAAAAAATGCACAACAATGGTGTGTTGTCTGATGAGATTAAATACAGTAATAACACAATGATCCTGTTAACAAGGACAAGCCTCTAACCATGTCATCCTTTTCTTTGCCATCTGTTACTTCAATTTTGGTGGGACTTGTATCAAACTTTAAAATGATCCAGATTTTCACGCATACAACATGAGTGAAAGTGTAGAAAATATCAGTGAAATCATTTCTGAATTATCACACTGACAAAATCAAGTCCCTGAGTTAGTCGTCTCTTTGCTATCACTATGCTGTGCTGCTTCAATTTTTGGGCAATTGTCTCAAGATCAAGTGTCTCCTACAGCTGGCATTTCCTTCCTCTACTGCCATACGGCACTGCTGCTTAATTTTGGGGACAATTTTTGAAATTGAAAATGAAACCATTACATCTTTATTCATGTAATGTTTTCCGGAAGCAATAGTAAAATCCATCAAATACTGATACTTTCACAATGTCACATGTTCTCTGCTTCCCTTTGATGCCACTAAGCGGCATCACTCTAATTTTGGAGATATCCATCTCATATTTTAATCAACTCCCGATCAGCAGCCACACAATGCCTCTGCTAAGTTTGAAGAACATCCATCAAATAGTTTTTGAGTTATCATTTTAAAGGTGTCAATTGTGAAAACTGGCCTTTTTGCCATCACTAAGCAGCACTGCTTCAATATTGGGGCAACCTGTCTCAAAATAAAATCATTTGCAGTGTGGCACTTAGAATTTTGCACAGGCATTTTGTGTCTTCAGCAAAGCGTCTATGGTCCTGTTCACACCTGGTATTAACATGCGACCTGGGTGATCCGATCACAAGTGGACAGAGCTAAATATGTCAGTTCACACCTGGTATTAACATGCGTCTCCACAGACTGCTTTTAATCTGATCTCACTTTCCCACAATTTAAACATGTAAATCATTTCCATAATTAACTTGCTCCAATTCAACGTATCAGACAGAACAGTGAACCTGTGTCCCCTTTTCAATTAATATATGAACCTCAGAATCTGCCAAATATTAAAAGGAGGAGAAAAAGAAATTAAAAGCTATTGGCGCAATCCCACCGCCTAAGATGTTTGTAATGAACACCATAATACTCAAAATGAAATAAATATATCTAAATAAATTAATTTCAATAATGTATAATTAACATGTCCTTTTATTTTACATAATTACATAAAGGGTATTATATTTCTTAATAATGCTTATCTTTTACATATCTTTAAATTGTATTTCATAATAACATCTTGATTGTCATTCGAAAGTCGTTATAAAATATTTCACATAATGCAAAAGATTTCTTAAATAATTCAAACTATATTTCAGAATAAAAAGTTTTCACGTTGTAGGCATGAATTTTTATACCCCGTCAACAAGATACAAATGTACATGTTAAAAAGGTCTTTCAGTACTTTGGTTACTACTTTTCTATTCATGAGCAAAGGGTTCAGTCTGTAATGCATTTGTCGGTTGCCATATGACAATATTTCAGCTTTTAATCATAACCAGTGAAGCTCAAAATTTGTGAAAATTTCAATGAAAAGGTTCATTGTTCTGTCTGATATGTTCAATTACATGTCTGACTTAGAGCAAGTTAAGTAAAAGAGGCGAAGTAGTCATTACTGGAGTGGGAATTCAAACCCCCGGAGCGCCGAATAAAAACATTAATGATACGCATTAGATATGACAAGGTTTCCATGTGAATGGGTCACGATTAAACCAATTTCCCAGTAGATTCAAGCTTATTTTTTGGTGCTGTAGAAAAAAGGATGTTTTTCACAATGCTGCTTACTATACAGAGGTCCATTCTGCACTGACACACATTCTGACATAAATCATATTTCAAATACTATTCACACGTCTAATGAGTAAATATGCAGGTACATACATACGTCCACACAAGGACGTCAGCTGAGTAGGCGGTCCTTCAAGGCCACCCAGGACACATTCACGTTCACACTGCTATAAGAATGTGGGCCATACGCATCGCAGACCACCTCCAAATGTGGTTTGAGCAATTGGATCTTAATACATTTTCAATGCATTTTGGGTATGTTCACACTTGTGGAATTTTAAGCACTATCCACTTGTGATCGGATCACCTAGGATGCATGTTAATGCCAGATGTGAACAAGGCCTATCGTGGCATACCGGTGCTAAAACCATATGCAAGTCCAAGGAATACAACAAAACTATCAATATGGCACATACAACTGTCCTTAAAACCATATTCAATATAAAAGCCATGATCATAACTAGTCAAGATGTAGTCTCCTCTACTCACCTTCGCCTCCTTCTGGTGAAAAAGAGGCTGTAATGATGTCAATGTCAGCACAGTTCATAACAATCTGGTTTGTAGCCTGTCTCACCTAGAAAGATAATTAAAAAGTGTCAAAATATTACATTACCTCCAAATAAATACAGAACAAATTTTTATGTGGCAACTGTCAAATTGATCCTTAAGCTGAGAGAAACAAAAAAAAAAAAACATGGTAGTGAGTTAGATTGTGTGAACTGGACTGCTAGCCCAGTCCCGGTAACCCTCATCAATGTTTGCCTATAGGAAATGATCCAGTCCTTGTCGGTTACTTTCTGTGGGGCTATGGTGGCCTAATGGTTAGGGAAGCTCACTTGTAATTGAAAGATTATTGGTTGAAATCCCCGACCAGCAAGGTACTGCTGAATTTGCTGCCCCCTGCTATGTCACGATGTCACATATGGGTTAAATACAGAGGACACATTTCGTTGTTGTGTGCCGTGTTGTGTCAACAATTATGACTGATCACCAAATCCTAAAAGTGAGTGATGTGTGACCATGATTCTGCATCTTGGTTCTGTGGATTTCAAGGCTGGTAGAAGTTTTGCGATTTAAAAAACTTAAAAAGAACTATATTATATTGATGATTAAATTAATATGGTTTCTCTGAATTATCAAACTCTTACACATTAGAAAACCTGACAAGTTAAAAAGCTCAAAGTTCAAGTACTAAATTCTCAGTATTATCAATATTTTTTTTTAACAAAAGGGGGAAAAATCTGTCACAAAAAACCTAGTAAAAATCTGAACGCATTGATTCTCTGTATGTACAAGTGGGGCTCAGGATGCATTGCCATGAAACCATTTTTCAGTATTCAGCTTAATTATCATGGAAGTGACACCATCCTAAAAGTTGTGATGTAGTCAAGACCACCTAAACCGAGACCAAGTCATTACCAAGACCAAGAGAATACCAAGACAGGGTAAGACAGACAAAACCAAGACCAAGGAAGGGCTACAACAAGTCAAGATCAGAAACAGACTAATGTATGAGTCTACATAACACACTAAAATATGTGGAGCATATGCACCATCTTGGGGCTAGGCAGCAATTTGTGTCACAGTATAATTTGAACCATGGATTAAAAAAATATATATATATTTTAGTATAAATGTTTCTGTACAAATTAGATGCACCTTATGGGTTGCATTTGAACTTTAAAGCAGGACATTTTACACCCAATTACAGTACTGTGTTAACCCTTTGAACCCTATCCATTTTTGAGCATTTTTCTATCCTTTCGATTTTAGGCTTATTATATTGTATGTACATGAGTTAGCCATACTGTATATGCTTTATG